ATTCTTTTTTTTTGTAAAATCTTCTATAGTGAGCTGGACACGCCATTCGCCCCCCAGGCCCCATCAGCAGGTCAGTGGGGAGGTGAGAGCAGGGTTTGGGGGGCGGAGTGGGGGGTCGGGCTGGATGGCAGCTGTGCCAGCACTGTCCCCTCACCGCCATGGCTCTCCATGCCCCTTTGTGCCAGCTCTGGGGCAGTGGCTGTGCGGGACAGGGGCACAGCTGCAGCTCTGCGCTATGGGACACTGGGGAGGCACCCACAGGCTCCATAGCCAGGGACGTGGGGTGCCCTGGGGAGGGCAGGCACAGTGCGGAACCAAGCCCCTCCGTGGCCTCAGCTGTGTTGGGAGCAAGAAGAGATTGAGTGACAGTTGTGTGTTCGTTAACTCTGGAACCTAGTAATGGCAAGAGTGGTGTACAGCACCCCTTTTGCCTTGCTCAGTGCTGGAGGGGCAGAGTCTAGCTAAGACCTGCTCCTTCTGCCCCCTCCGTTTCATTGGCAGCAGCAAGCAGTGTCAAAGTTTGCCCCGGCATCCCGGGGCCGGGGCTGGTGCTGCTGTGGGTGGCTGGCAGAGCGCGCTCAGGGCTGTCAGGGGGGCTGGTCAGGGCTGTGTAGCACTGCAGGGGGGGTCCCTCAGCACTGCATCACCCTGGCCCTGGGAGTGCCCCCTTGCCTGTGCCCACCCTGGCACTTACAGCTGGTGCTGCCACTGCCCGGGCCGTGCCAGGTGCCCGTGCTCCTGGGCCGTGCTGCTGCTGCACCGGGGCAGGGACGAACACGGGATTGGGCACTGCAGGGAGAGGGCAGGGATGGCTGGGATGTGCCGGTGGGGCTGGCAGAGCCAGGACAGGCAGGCTGGGAGGGCACAGCAGCCTCTGGCACAGGGCTCGCACTTCTGGGTTCACCTCCCCATGTTCCAGGGGCAAGGAATGTGGGGGCTGATTACAGGGGCACCCCCCACACACACACAGCATCCGGGAGCCGTGGCCAGACAGGGGACACCTGGGATACCCCTCTCCAAGCCACCCCAGGCCTAGGGCCCCCTCTCCAAGTCACCCCAATCCTCCATCCTTAGGGACCCCTACTCCAGGATGGGGTTCCCCTGCCCTGGGCATCCTGAACCCACTTCCGTGCCCTGGAAGAATGGCTATTTTGGCTAACGATGTAACTGGCATCTATTTATACCTTCCTGCAGCCCCTGCCTCGCCCGGCCGTGACTGCATCACCATTACCATGGCGAAGAGCAATGACTTCAGGCTGATGACATCAGGGGCTGACTAGTACCCTGCACTGGCACTGCAGGAGTAGCCCCGGCACCCCATTAGGAGGCTGGGGAAAGAATTGGGGCTCCCTCACTGGTTCAGGGGAGGCTGGATAAGGCTGATGCACCACAGAGTGCTCCTGCTTTCACTGAAATACCTCCGTGGGGGCAGTTTGAGTGGGGAAAAAAGGAGGGAGGGGACTACGCTAGAGATGCCTCCCACAGGGCATCGCCTCCCAGCATCAACCCCACCACTGCTACGAGCTTCCCAGCCATAAATCAGGGCGCCTTTGGGAAGTGGGGGGCATCCGGGTACCCCAGCCAAGCTGTCATTGTGCGAGGCAATGCTGTTTAGCATGAGAAAGGCTCCGGTGCCAGGTGGCGTGATGGATGATGCCTGCTTTGCTGGGTTGGGGAATCTTTGGCTATGTGGTGGTGGTGGGGGGGGTGTCCCTGGGGAAGGGGGAGGAAGGATGCCCTGGGTCACCTGAACATCCCAAGCGACGTTCGGGGT